ATAAAAACAATATGTTTGTACGGGGTTCACCAAACTTGGGGGGTTAAAAGATCATATGACCCCATGACCTCATTTCAAATTTCAAGGTTATATTTAAAAAATGCTTGTATTTTAACGTTATAAATAAAAAACAGCTTGTAATAGCCTTTTCCCAAAATACCTACCCTAACCTAGAAACGTTATGGCTATAAAAAATCAGCGATACTCATATCTGGCATAGTCGAGCAAATAACTTAATATTCATTTTTTTTACAATTTTGAAAATTTTTCGTTCATTATCGCAGTAAACATTAAATGGTACACTTTTATTTTTTGCCTTTTTATGACCCAATTAACATTTAGAATAAATTTTATTGACGAGCAAATTTTATACATCATAATTTAAAAAAAAATTAAATACTCATTAATGCAGAGACATACACGTCTGGCGATGATATTTATCTCAAAGTCTTGTTAGGGACTTCAAGTTAAAAAAAAATGCCAGACGCGAGCAAATGAATTCAAATTAATTTCAGTTAGAAAATCTTTGTTAATAGCTTACGTTAAGAACAATACCTACTATTTATTGCAATGGTAACAAAGTTTTTGTTATTTCCCTTAAAAAGAGGGAAAAGGGGCAGCGCTCGAGTGAAGTGTGGTTAAATTTACCCTGGCAAAAATAAAGCGTGCACGAAAAGTGTGCAATAAGTGTGTATTTAGAGTGCAAGTTTTTATAACAATGCGCATAGACGCTATTTTGTGGTAATGTCACACTTTTTGAAATAATTTAGTTTTTTCACTCTTTATGCACATTGACATCACGCTTTTTATTTGTCACTTGTCACGCTTATATTAAATTATTTTTTTGCACATTGTTTGCACAGTTTTAGTACATTGTTTAAAGACAATTTTGCAAAGCTTCAGTCTATCTTACGCATGTCACATTTTATACACACTGTTAATGTGCTATAAAAAGGTGCAATATAAGCGTGATAAATGGTAAATTTTTGGTTTTGCACATTGTTTCATGTTCTATTTCCCACCATCTGCACATTGTTCTCAAATAATTTTGCACACTTTTTGCACATTTCATTTTCGCCAGGGTAGCATGATAAAAATATCAAAAAGGTCACTAAGAAAATTAAAATTAGACGTTTTCTAAAAGAAATATTTAAGGTATATTCTATAAACGAAGCAGACTTGTTGTTTGATATAATAAATAATTTGTTTTAATGCCTTAAGGCAATTGCAATTATTTAAAAAAAACTACTCAACAGTAGGTTGAAAATCAGACCATTGTTACAATGAAAATAGTTTATTGAATTAACAATGAATTTGTTGTTAAATTTACATAAATTTTATTAATATTATAAAAAATTTTTTATTTTAAATCCATAAGGGTTTCATTAATACTACAAAACGTTTTTGTAAACGGTATAGAACTGTTTTTTTTGCAAATAACAATAACTATATTTACCAAGAGTGTTATTTTTATACACATAACGTAAATTTACTCAATAATTAATGCAAATGATATTACTGAAAGCAGCGTTTGTAGATAAATAAGTTTTATAAAAATGATCTTTTTGCCGTAACAAAAGCAATTGTTGGACGAATAGGGATCTTTACTTTATTAAATAAATTTAGTGTACCCAATAATGGGTCGACTTTGTTTAACAATTTAGTTTAAAATGTGATGAGAAAACATATGTTATCTCCTATAATACTTATGTGTCTAGTCTAATGCATACAATTTAAAGGAAATAGCTTGTCTAATGGCGCACATAAAAGTGTAATGTGTATCGGAAACAAAACCCAAAACCGAACCAGCCGCATAAGCCGGTGTGGCGTTGTAAGTATCGATTCTAATAAATACGAAACAGCCAGGCGATAAAAAGTATTGAGACGTTTATTTTTTATATTTCAGTTAGACACCGCCGAAATGGCGGCCCTTATGTTGCCAAAATTGTGGGCGATGCTACGAGTTGAATGTTAATGGAAAATTGGGTCCAAGAAATATCCTGTATCAGCCATTATTTTAGGGCAAATTTTTTTTATCTCTTTTTAAATTAAAGGCATGTAAAATAAACATCAGCCTGTTGTAATTGTATATGCAACGACCATTTAATGATGGCTATTAAGAAATGAAATAGCCCATTAAATCGGAATTGCATCATACACTATTTTTTCTACGACCATTACAATAAATTAGAAAATTAACACAATAATTTTAAAATGTTTCGTACCTTTTTGTTAATTGTACAGGTTTTTGCTGTCTGTTACAATTTTTGGCCGGGTTAAAAAATTTATATGTTAACAGTTACTTGTCAAAATTGATAAATATTATTTCTTTTAGATGTCCAAGGCAATCGCAGTGTATCGCATTTCTATTCGTTAATATTGCTGTGTATTGTATTTCTTTTGGTTAAAAGCCACACAAAAAAAATTGGTGCAATTTCATAAGTAATCATCATTAATGAGTAAAACATATCAGGATCTGAAAAAAACAGGAATACTGCGTTTTCCTGAATAAAAACAGTTTTTTGTCTCTCTTGTAAAATTACGTTTTTGGTCTATATCCACTTTTTATTCTGAGGTATTTAAGTGTTGACGGTGTTTTTGTTGGTGTATTGATAACTTGGTTTATATTAAGAAAATCAATGCCCCCAATGGGGGCCCCCCATAAGATGTTATTAGGTACAGGTTGGAATAAAATCTGATTTTCAAGCACCAAGCACGCTTATGAAATTTGGAAAATTTGTATTTGGTGGTCTATACAATGAACCTATTATAGGTTATTATAATACCCATTGAAATATTTACATGCTTAGTTTTTATTTAAATATGTTCAACAAAGGCATTTGTTTCAGAAGCCAATATCTCATATGCATAATTATAAAACTCCAGAACCAATAACAAAATTCTACACTGAAAAAAAGATTTCTTATATTTAGAAAACCTATAATCTTGAAAATATTGCTTTAAAATAAGAATATATATTTTAACTAAAAAAGAATTTTGTAGTTTTGAAAATATTGTAATATTAAGAAACATATCTTGTTTTAAAAAGTTGCATGTTTCAATCCAAATATTAAATATTCTTGAAGGAAATCTTAGTTGGTTTCTTGGTACAATTGTTATTATTTTTTTTACATCAAGAATAAGATATTCATATTTTTTTATTTCTTTATTTTTTTTATATTAAGAATTAGATATTCTTAAATTTTTTTATTCGTTTTATATATTATAAATTTTTTTGCCAAGAATTCATATTTTGGAAATCGTGTAGGAGTGGAGATGCCGACACGTTCCTCTGACATTTTATGCCTAATCATGCAATGTTTTTTTCTCTTTGTGAGGAAGAGGGCGTATTTCATTAAAAAATTATTAGAAAAGTGGTCAGCATCGAAGGAAATTATAAAAAAATTGAAGGTAAGAAAGTTGTTATTGATATACCACCATTTTTTTAATTTAGCGTCGCATAAATGCGTAAATTTACAACTCGGCAAATGTGCGCAAATTTTAAAGGGAGAACGCATTCGGAAGAAAAGAGATCCATGATACGGCCGAGATCGGCCGCACAGAGGACTAAAATTCCCAAAAAGCGGTTTTACGTGGTATTTGTAAAAATTTAAATTTGATGTCAACTCGTGGGAAATTTCCCATTTTGAGGGAAATTTTACCTCAAATTGAGACAAATGGGAAAAAGGGAAATATTTTTAAAAAAGGCCGTCCATGAGGGAAATTTATATCAATTCAAAATGAAAATTTATAATTATCCCTTTCCTACTTTTTCTAATCAAATAATTCGGATTTTTTTATATTTTATGACTTCGTATTTTATACAAAAAATATATATAACCTAAACAATAGGCCGTATTTATAAAAGAAAGGATATGCTTATACTTGCAAAATATGAACGAAATCCTTCAGCTTTTATATACATAAAATCATTAATAGGATTTCCTTCATATATGAATATATTTTACAAATATAAGCATAAGGATATATCCTTTTTTATCAATATGGCAAATTGTTTTATAATTTTATTTTACATATATTTTTGTATTTATACACGTTGTTTTTTATAGGTTTACTAATAAATACTGTTGCTAAATTTTTAAAATGCTATTTTTTTGCAAAATAATATCTTTTTTATTTTAAAAAACGGGTAACAGCATATTTCAAAAAGCGTGGGAAAAAAGGGAATTTTTGAACATTTTCGAGGGAAATTTGTTGCAAAAGGGTTGGCAACACTGTCTGTACGTCTTTATTTATGGATTTCAAGAGCTCAGGGCTAATAATCTCTATGAATTAAGGGTGCAAATCTTTAATACATTGGGAGATATTAGTCCTGAAATGCTGTTTAACGTGCGCAGGAATTTTTATGATAGGCTAGGGTATTGTTTAACTGCTGCTGGTGGTCTATTAGAACATTTAATTTAGAAAAAAAGATATTTTCGTTATTTTAGAATTTATAGGTTTTATTTTTATCGTATTCGTTTGTTTTGTTGTAATGCATTTCTGCAAATAAAAACTAAGTATTGTTTAATATTCATTAAATACCAGTTAATGGCGAAAATGTATTTCTTAAAAACTATACACATTTCCCTACGACATTGTCGGAGCTACTGAACAAACAGTAGATTAAACTGCATGCCCTTGTATCTGGCTGCATGCCGCACTGTTGCCATATGCTATTATTGTTTCCGAAAAGGGTTGTTTTTCTTATTTTTTAATATTAAAAGTAAGAAAATTAACTAAATCAAATTATTTTTGACATATTATTAGTTTTTTTGTTATTTTTAAAGTTTCAAACAAACAAAATTAAACTATTTATTAAATAATTATAATCGTTCTCTTCTGATTTAAAACAACCTGGCAACTATGGTTCGTAATTAAAAATGGCTTGGTTTAAACCTTACTTACTTGATTCTATACAGTCTGTATATGATACAAAGATTGTTTTGAATCAAATAAATTTATTTGATACAGGAATATTTTTTTTTCAGTGTACTTACACCGGGCGGATTCTTGGACGGCCCAGTGGGGCTGGGGGACTTTTTCAGGTAATGCGTGCCAGTGCCCGCGGGGCTTTTCACGGCGGTCGGCCTGCGGTGCGTGTGGAAGGCCAGAGGCTGGTCGGGCCCGCTGCGCTTCCCGCTCGCCATCCTGCGACGCCTGTAGCAGTAGTACGTCACCGCCATCATGATGACGCCGAACACGGCGCCGCCCAGACATAATCCTACCACGGCAGGGTAGTTAACTGCAACAAAAAATGGGTTTATACTTATAGGCACACTGGGGAAAGTGGTATAGCCAAGGTCAAATCATATTGTGACCGTGAAAAAAGGTTCATGAATAATGGCTCGGTCAATGCGCATGTTTTTAAAATTTAAACTACCTGTCATATTTGTTAGGTTAAGTTTAAGTTTGTTCTCTTATAAATACTTTCAGTCACGGTCTTATATACAGGTCTTGCAACTTCGCCCAATTTCAATAGGAAAAGTGACCTCTCTAATGAGACACCCACCAGATGGCGCATCGAGTTGAGGGTGAACCATAGATGTTTAAAGGTCGTTTTTACCTTCTTTATCTTTGGGTTTTACAATCGTTAGATAAGCTCTCTGGTGGATAATTTTCTTAGATAGAAGGTTTCTATGAAAGTTATCCGCCAAATAAGCTAACTTAATCTAACGATTGTAAAACCGGCTCTAACTCCTTAAAGTCTATGGGATAAAGGTCAAATGAACTACCTACTTATGTTCTGTGAAGAAACATAACCTACATTTTTATAAACAAGCTTGTGTATTTTGTTACAGGGAGTTTTTACTTATTGTTATTGTGATATTCGTTATTGTTATATTATATTGTTCTATTTTTTCTTGTTATATTTGTTCTTGTTATACATTTGTATTTGTGCTTTTTAATAGACATGAAGTCCTGTGTTGTGCCAAAATGTAACCAGCAAAGCTATCGTTCCGGAATTAAAATTAAGCGGTCCATGTTTAAAGTGCTAACAAATAAGGAGCGGTTAAAAACATGGCAATGTGCAATAAAAAACACATTATTGACACCTTCACATTTTGTATGATTATTATATAATTAAGCACATCGTGTTGGTGAAATATATATTATTTTAAATAAACAATCAACCCATCCCCGCCAAGACAATAAAAAAATCGGTTATTAATAAATTAGCCAGAATATTGGTTGGTTAGTTTGTTGTGTTACTAGAAATTTTGGTTTTCATATTAGCCAAATTGAATTGGATAGTTTACAAATTATCCAGCTATTCCTAAATAATTTTAAGTAAATTAGCCAAGACCCTTGGTTGGTTTACAAACTAGCCGCTAATTTAGTTAAAAATACGTTTTCAATTAAAATAGCTGACAGTTTGGCTAGTTTATAAACTACCCAGCTACTTAATAAACTATCCATGTTTACACATTAGCCGTAACATATATATGATATACGTATGTATTTTATACATTAACATGTTTGGTCTGGGCATGTGACGGCCGAGGACTTTGTGCATATAGTATAGACTTTGTTGTCCTATTTTGTTAACGTAAATTATCCGAAACAAACTCACAAATATTAAATTTTTGAAAATGTAAACAAAACATAGAAAAAGAATTTAAAAAGTTAGGTTATGGTTATGCAGTAGTTCCACATTTAACTAAGTAGTAGTTTAATTGACTTTACCCCTTCGATCTTAGCGCCACCTAGCGGCTTGGCACGTTAAGGAAGCCACCTCGAAGCTTAAAGTTGCAAGACCTGTATATATACAGTGTATATATACAGTGTATATATACAGTGTATATAAGACCGTGCTTTGAGTAAATAGTGACAGTGAATAATTTTAAATATGGCTAGTGATATAAGAAAATGCGTTGTCCCTTACTGCAAAAAAGTGCAAGATAAACGGCATTATTTTCCAACTATGGAATCTCAACTAGACATTTTTAACATGTGGATAAAAAAATATAAACATCCAAATTTAACCAGATGAGTAAAGAGGAAATAATTAAAAAACGATATGTATTGTGTCACAATCATGCACATATTTAGATATAAATCACATATGTGGTCATAATCATTTCAAAAAAGGAGTGTGTCGTGACCACAGACGAAGTCTACCAGTGGATGGCATCTACTAGATGCTGTTCCAACTTTAAATCTCCCAAGTAAGTTTGTTTTTTTTCTTAAATTTTAAGTCTTAAAGTGTTAGTATTTAGGTAAGGTTTAACAAAACTAATGTTACACTAGTTCGATAATTTATTTATTATCCATTCATACTGATATTTATGGAAGAGCTTAAAGTGAAAGACTTAATTCCTAATAAAATACGGAATGAATGATAAAAGGTAATTATTTTTGTAGGTACTAATTTTTTTTATTTGTTTTTTCATGTAATGCATACCTACTACAGATGATAAACTTGGACCACTGATGATGGACAAAAACAGTTTTTGAAACAGTTTAAAGAAAAACTGGGAGGTAGGAAAGATTTTTCATAAATATATATTTGAACTAATTTTTTTTTTCATTTAGGTAATGCATACCACATATGGTAAACCACCACTTACGAGTAAAAAGTAGTTTTAAAAGAGGTAAGAACGATTTTAGTACAAAATAAGTAGGTACTAATTGGATTTTGTTTTATCATGTATGATAAACTTGAGCTACTGGAGTACCTAATACCAATTTTTTTAAACAAGAAGGAAAAACTCTGGAAGTAATAAATATTTTTTAATAAATAATACCTAGTTTTTACTAGTTTTTTATACTACTAATTGTAATAAACTAATAAATAAGTTTTGAAAACTTTTGATAATAATATGCAGGTTTCTTTGTCACTTTTTTTAAATATGCATGCACAGCTGTGCAATATCTAGATATTGTTTTGATTTTTTTATGTTAAAATATTTAATAATAATAATTAACCATAGAAATAATAACATACCTAAGTATATTTTGGTTTATTCATTCCCTCATGCACTTGTTTATTTATTACAAACTTATTAATGTACTATTTTTTGAAGTAACCTTTATTTTAATTTTATTTTATTATATAATAAATAATATATTTGTTTAATAAACGTTTATTTTCAACATTTTATTGAATTTTCTTTATAAATACTAATTAACCCTATTAATGAAAGGGGAATTTAGGTATTTATAGCAAGAACTTACTTTTTTAAGGCTTTTTTGGAATCAATGTAATATAATATATATATATATAATATTTTTTTTTTTTGAAAAATATATCGAGAATGTCATTCAGAATGACAAAAAAAAAATTTCGTGAAAATTTGAGCCCTCAATATTAATTTTAAGAGGTCTATCATCGCTATTTTTGATTTTTAGTCATAATATGATGTTTTACGTTGGAACTGTCAAAACAATAAAGTGAAAAAAATTCCTTGTCACTTATTTTTATAAAAAATTAAATTCTCTACAAAAAAGGTCTGATTGAAAATTTTCGCCAGACGAGCCGTTTCCGTGTAATTGAGCTTAATAAATCGATGTGTTTTTTCGATTTGCCCTTTTTACTTTGAAATTTTGTAACTAATGAATCAATGAATATTTAAAAAAGCTCACGTCGGATTCTTAAAGGAAATTTAATGTTCTACAAAAAAGGTCTCGGAACATTTTTGCCTAAATTTAATTCTTCAAAAGTTATTCACGAAGAAAAAATTGAAATTTTAAGTTTTTCTTCGATTTTAATCGTGAATAACTTTTGAAAAATTAAATTTAGGCAAAAATGTTAAGAGACCTTTTTTGTAGAACATTAAATTTACTTTAAGAATCCGATGTGAGCTTTTTTAAATATTCATTGATTCATTAGTTACAAAATTTCAAAGTAAAAAGGGCAAATCGAAAAAACACATCGATTTATTAAGCTCAATTACTCGGAAACGGCTCGTCTGACGAAAATTTTCAATCACACCTTTTTTGTAGAGAATTTAATTTTATATAAAAATAAGTGAAAAGGAATTTTTTTCACTTTATTATTTTGACAGTTCTAACGTAAAACATCAAATTATGACTAAAAATAAAAAATAGTGATGATAGACCTCTTAAAATTAATATTAAGGGCTCAAATTTTCACGAAATATTTTTTTTGTCATTCTGAATGACATTCTCGATATATTTTTCAAAAAAAAAAATAGTCAATTTTTTTGGCCCAGTCTAATATATATATGGGCAGATCCATTACTTTTCGACAAAAGTGTGCGGGGGTAAATCACCTATTTGGCTGCCGATTTTTTTCTCGAAAGTAGGTCATATAAGGAGGCGATCCTGAAAATTTGAGCTCGATATAGGTAATTCCGGCTGCAAGAGAATTTTTTGAAATATAAAAAAGTCGATTTTTTAGTCATTTTCAAAAATTCGTATCTCAGCTCTTATTTAACTTAGAGATTTGATCAAGACGGCATTTTTCTCTGTTATCCCTCTATTTTCAAGAAAAAAATAGGTTTTAAGTTTAAACTCAAATCCGGCTAAGCTGTAAGCCTCCAAATAAAACACTGCTTAAGATAAATTTTGCCAATTTTTAAAGTGCTCTCAAATCTACAGTTTTTGAAGCAGTGGAATAAATGACAGATGATATTTTTAGTTAAGGTATACTCTGTTGGAATTTACCCATTTTTTACTTGATTGCTTCAATTTCTCTAATGTATGGCCACTCAAAGACAATTGATTTTTGAAAAATCGCTGTTTTCAGATACCTACAACTTTTTTCTATCGATCCGAAATCCTTTGATAATTTTAGGGATTATACTTTATTCTATCCCCAAACAACCCATCAAAACTTTTCCTTGGGTATTGAAGTGGTTTCCGAGCTATGAATTTTTAAAAATGTCAAATTTTCAATATAATATGACATTTTTGGTAGTTTTATTATCAGTTAAATGAATTATTAGTAATACTTTAGTCAATAATCCATTGGACCTTGTTCATTTTTCTCGAAAGTAGGTCATATAAGGAGACGATCCTGAAAATTTGAGCTCGATATGGGTAATTCCGGTTGCAAGAGAATTTTTTGAATATAAAAAATGTCGATTTTTTAGTCATTTTTAAAAATTCGTATCTCAGCTCCTATTTAACTTAGAGATTTGATCAAGACGGCATTTTTCTATGTTATCCCTCTATTTTCAAGAAAAAAATAGGTATTAAGTTTAAACTCAAATCCGGCTAAGCAGAAGCCTCCAAATAAAACACTGCTTAAGATAAATTTTGCCAATTTTTAAAGTGCTC